CATCTATCTATCCATCCATCCATCTATCTATCCATCCATCCATCCATCCATCCAATTTATATGGCTGCCCATCTCAACAAATGACTCTGGGCAGTGAACAGAATTAAAATAAAATAAAAACAATTACAACCATTACAAAATTTAAAATACAAAGCAGCCAAGAAACATCAAACCCAAAGCACTACTATAACCAAGAAGTGGGTCCCTGCACATATTTGGGGCCCCAGGCTCAGGCCCAGAATTAGGTGTTTAAGGCCTTACAAAAGGCCCACAGGGTTGGGCCATCCTAATCTCTGGAGGGAGAATTCACCTACAAGGTGAGACTATGGCAGAAAAGGCACATCTTCTAGGCCCCGCCAACTGGCATCCTTTGGCTGACAGAACCTGAAGCATGCACATCCTGCCTGACCAGATTGGAAGGCTAGAAACAACTGGGGAGAGACTGTTCCTCAGGTTACCTGGTCCTAAGCCATGAAGGGCTTTAAGGGTGGCAACCAGCAATTTGAACTGCACCTGGAAACACGCTGGCAACCAGTGCAGCTCACGGAGCAGAAGTGTTACATGTGCTGAATAACCGGCACCATTTACTACCTGTGCTGCCTCATTCTGCACCCATGCTGCTGCATTCTGTTTTTGACTTATTAACAGAGAGATTGAATGCAGACACTAGAAAGGCAGCAGCAGCACTTAATTTGTGCCCCAAATAAGTAGATTTCAGTATCAATTCTGGAGGAGATGAGGTTAAATATTTGGAGAGTTAACTTTTGACCTTCTTCAAACAGTTTCCTTCCCCACTTTTGCTGAGCCAAATTCAGGGCTACTGAGAAAATCTTTTTCACCAAAGCCTTGATCCACCATCCAGAACAGGCTGATTCTCTCTGCATAGAAAAGAAGCATTTACCTCTAGGCAAATAAAAGCAGGAATCAGTGATCTCCTACTTCTGCTAGAGAATGACAGGAGGAGGAATTCCACTACTCTCCCAAGACAGAGCATAACTAGAGAGAGAGAAGGTATGACATGTAAGAGAGGAGAAGGAACCTCTGTGGGCCGGATGTCTTGTAGACCACTTCTGGCCATGAGCCTGAGATTCTCCACTGTGCTGTACAACAGGGGCATAATGGCTTTCAGCAACTTAAAAACAAGATAGCCTTCAACAATAGGACTAGTTCCTGAGTATGTTCTAGTTTTATTTATTTACATTGATTTCAGTTTCTTTTGGAAAGAAGCATTATAAAAAATGGGGGTGTTATGAGTGTGCTTTCAAAGACTGTTCCATGTGTACATCCTGGATTTAGCCTGGACTTCTGAAAAGAGACCAGGATTAAAAATACTAGACTTGATAATCTTTAAAGGAGCCATCAGTTTCTGAAGAAATGTGTTCCAAGTCTATCTTCTAGAATTCTCATAAAGCTGTAGTTATACAGTCTTCTTTCCATAACTTCTTTCCCCAATTCTACCTCCTTTTCCAGTCATGGTCAGAATTTGAAAACAGTTTTTGTACATGTAGTTTGTCTTCTGCTCCCATCCCCATTTGTTTTTACCAATTCATGCACAAAGTCACCTGTTCCTGCAAAGTTCATCTTTCAATACAAAATGTCCTAGACCTCACACAAAGGCTACAAAAGCCACCTGCAGGGTGTCAAAATATTAAGATTTGTCTTATTACTTCAGGGAGCCTAGAAAAGTCCCTTCGCTAAAAAGGTGAAACTGATAAATGGTTTGAAATCTCTATACCGAAGTGAAATCTCTGGTGGTGGATGATATTACAGCCTTTTATCATAATTCTTCGGATTCAGACAAAACGTGAATATAATCTAGCCAAGACCCACCAGAAGGTTTTTGAAGATCAACAGTAAACAGACAGTCTTGAAAGTCAAGTCCAACTAATTAGGCTAGTTTCTCCAGTGAATCAACTTCTGACAACTCACCATACAAGTTAGGTGTCTGGAAAATTTAGCAGTTGCATCCTGATTTTTAAAAGATTTTTTACACAGAAATCTAAAACTTCTCCAAGATGCTGCTTATCTTTGTCAACCATAAGTTAAGCATGAGCCACCAGTGTGATATAGTTGCAGCTGCTGAAAAGGCAAATGCTTTCTTGGTGTGCACTAATTTCCAGACTACAGAAAGTTATTTGCCCTCTACTCTGCCCTTCATGCAATACTATGTCCAGTTCAGGGCATGACAGTCTAAAAAGGGTATTGACAGATAGGAGCAAGTTCAGGGCTAGCAAGACCATGAGAGGTTGAGGCCTACAAGGAATTGTTCAAGATCTGACAAGTTCGGCCTACAGGTATGATAACAGTCTTCAAATGGCTAAGGGGCTATCACATAGAAGAGGACGTGATTTATTCTCTATTGCTCTAGAGAGCAGAACCAGAACCAATGGGTTAAAGCAACAAGGAAGGAGGTTCAGGTTAGACATCAAGAGAAACTTCCTGACTGCATATGCTATCAGCCAATGGGACAGGCTGCCATGCGAAGTGGTGAGTTATCCTTCGCTGAAGGTCTTCAGACAGAGGCTAGAAGGTCATCTGACAGAAATACTTTAATGGATTGTGCACTGAGCAGAGTGCTGGACTAGTTGATCTCTAAGGTCCCTTCCAACTCTTTGATTCTATGTACTTCCTCCCTCTCAACTGCTTTTTCTTCTTCTAAAGAAAATTTAAGTTGGCTATTGTAAAAATGAAAGTCTGACATTGGTCTGTTCAGCAAATATTATTTTGTTCAGCAATAGTCCTGTC